AGTTACTTGACTGAAACATGATTAAGAAGGAGAGATCTGCTGTAAAACTGATCATACTATAAGGCTTCCATTACTTGTGACTGCTAGTTATCCCTATACCTCTAGCAAAGATCCAGCTAAGAGAAGAGGGAAAATCTCAAATGATGTTAGCAGGGACAAAGCTGGGAGTGATGTGACACACTGTCATCACTGCCCAATTTTTTTTTTTTTTTGGTATATGTTGTGTTTTACGGCCTCTGACAACTTATAGCATACCCCAATGTGTAAGATTCTCCACCGGAAGACAGACAACAAAGGACGGCAGAAACAGACACACAGCTAAACTCTCCCAAGAAACCAGACTCTCCAGAGTCTCGCTATTTTACCCCAAAGAGGTATCAGCTGACTCTCCAGTTTTCCCTTCTGAGAGCAAAGTCAGTTTTACAATGAGGACCATTTCAGGAATAGTGATCCAGAAGCCTGGGTACATTAAGTTTCTGTAGACTGATTAGCTATATGTAGCCTTTGACCTAAAGAAATTGGTGACCTTGGTCAGAGTTTTGTCAGTAGCAACTGTCTTCCTGCTCTCTCTCTCTCTCTCTCTCTCTCTCTCTCTCTCTCTCTCTCTCTCATTCTCTCTCTCTTTCTCTTTCTTTCTCTTTCTCTCTCTGTCTCTCTTTCCCTCCCTCCCTCCCTCTCCCTCCCATTACGGGTTTTCTTGGCAAGAATACTGGAGTGGTTTGTCATTTCCTTCTTCACTCATTTTACAGATAAGAAAACTGAAGCAAACAAGATTAAGTGACTTTCCCAAGGTCATACAGTTAGAGTCAGACAACTTGAATTCAAATCCCACTCTTTTACCTCATCCTACCCAACCAAAATACGTTTCATTTACTTTGTGTATACTGATATAGGTACATGATGACTCCCTCATAGAATGTAAGGTCTTTGAGGTCAGGATCTGCTTCATGTTTGCCTTTGTATCTTGAGAACCCGTATCTATACTTGGTACATTGTAAGCACTTAAATGCTTGATTAATTATTCATGTCACCGCTAGACAAGTCACTTCACTTGGCTAGGTTGTAGTCTCATTATCTGTAATAATAAGAGAATTTTACTAGATGATCTCACCACAAGCCTCTTGGAATTCTTCACAACCTTCAAGGCTCAGCTCAAGTCACATAGTCAAGACAAGGCCTTTCCTGCTAAATTACTGTGTGTATATGTGTGTGTGTGTGTGTGTGTGTGTGTGTGTGTAATTTACCTATCTAGGTATACTCCCCCCAATCCCTCAGAATGTAAGTTGCTTAGGACCAGGGAGTGTTTTCATTTTTGTTCTTGTATCCTTAGTGCCTGACAGTATCTGGCACATAATGGGTATATAAAATATGTTTTTTGAATTGAATCTCTAAGATCCAAAATTGTTTTAAATCCTATGTAGCTCCTTATTTCCTATCTTAACTCAGTACCAATAGAACAATGCTCTCCCACAATCCTTTGTAATGATCTCTTAATGCTGGCATTTTATCTCATTCTGAATTTATTTTTCATGAGGGTTATCGGGGAATCTTAGAACTGGAAGGACCCCAGTGTCATCCAGACTAAATCCACTCTAAACAGGACTTTCCTCACGTTCCAAATAAATGGTCATTCACTCTCTACTTGAAGACATCAATCATAGAAAGTCCATTACCTCCTATGTGAATGTTGTTCTTAGTCCTGCTTCACTTTTGTACATTTCTTTCTTTTAGGAAGTTTTCCTAATATAGAGTTTAAAGTTGCATCTCTGCAACTTCTCTACCCACTGTTCCTGATCCTGTGGCCAAGCAGAAATTTGATTCTTTAACCCTATGATAATCTTTCAACTCTTTGAAGAAAAGTAATCAAATTATTTGACCCTTTAAGTATTGCTTCCAAACCAGGGGTTCTTAACCTGGGCTTCTAGAATTAATTGGTTTTCTTTGTTATTCTGTGTATTTTATTTTATGCATTTAAAGCTATTACCCTGAGAAAGGGTCCATAGGTTTCACCAGACTAACAAAAGGGCCCACTTCACAAAAAGCTGAAGATCCCCTTCTCTAAGAATCCTTGAACTAAGAACTCCTGATATAAACTAAAAATCCCAAGTTCTTTCAACTGACCATAATATAGCAATGGTTTTGAGTGCCATTGCTTGCTGGTCACCTCCCCACTTGTCATTGTCCTTTCTAAAAAGTGGCCCTTGCCTATAAAACTGTGCATACCCTTTGATTCAGCAATATCACTGCTATGTCTATATCCCAAAGATATCAAAAAAGGAAAAAAAGACCTATTTGTACAAAAATATTTATTGCAGTTCTTTCTGTGGTGGCTAAGAACTGAAAATCGAAGGGATGTCCATCAACTGGGGAATGGTTAAACAAGCTGTGGTATATGATTGTGATGGAATATTATCGTGCTATAAGAAATGACAAGCAGGATGATATCAGAAAACCCTGGAAACACATGAACTGATGCAAAGTGAAGCAAACAGAACCAAGAGAATGTTGTACACAGTAACAGCAATCTTCTTCAGTGAAGAATTGTAAATGACTTAACTATTCTTAGCAACTCAATGATTCAAGACAATCTCAAAGGACTAATGATGAAGCATACTATCCACTTCTGGAGAAAGAACTGCTGTTATTTGAATGCAGACTCAAGCATGCTATTTTTCACTTTCAGTCTTTCATTCTTTTTCTTTTATTTGAGTTTTCTTACACAAAATGATTAGTATGAAAATGTTTTGCATAACTGCACATGTATAACCTTTATCTTATTGCTTACTGTCTTGGGGAAGTAGAAGGGGAGGGAGGGAGGGAGAAATCGAATTTGGAATTCAAAACTTTAAAAAAATGTTAAAAAATTGTTTTAAGGTAATTAGAGAAAAGTAAAATACATTGGAAAAACTTAGCCCTTGGTACTACATACAGTACTCCAAATGAGACTTGAGAGTAGTAGCAGCACACAACTGGACTGTCACCTCACTCATTCTGGACACTCTACTCAAGGTCTTACTGAGACTGAAGTTCACTTAAATTACTTTCACATTAACTACTGTCTAGTCATAAGTCCTTTATCCTACATTTGAGCAGGCAACATTTTGAAGTCAAGCACGTGGCCTTATGATATTTGATTTAGATAGGATCCATTTTTGTTGACTTCTTTGGACCCCAAGTCTGTCAACTAACATGTTAGCTATCCTTCACAGCACAGCATCATTGATAAATTTAACATCAAGTCATTTATGAGCCTTAATCCAAGACACTGACAAAAAGCTGAAAAGAACAGGACTAAGGATAGAATCTGGGACCATCTTATTAGAAGTCTCTAAAGGTTGTCGTATCAATAACTATTATTTGGAAATGGGCATTCAACCAGATCCCAATTCCACTTAACTCGACCATTACTCCACATCTCTTCCATTTTATTTACTAGGCTATTGTAAAAGAAATCTGGGCATCTAGGTGGAACAGTGGACAGAGTGCTGGACCTGAAGTAAAGAAGACTCATCTATCTGAGTTCAAATCTGGCCTCAGACACTTACTAGCTATGTGACACTGGACAAGTCACTTAGCTGGAGAAGGAAATAGTGAACCATTCTAGTATATTTGCCAAAAAAACCCCAAATGGGGTCATGAAGAGTTGGACAAAATTGAAACAAATAAATAGCAGCAACAAGAGAAATCTAAGTTTCCTATGTCTATTGGCATGGCTTAGCAACCTTATGGTACTCTTATCTATTCCTCCAGAAATTCCTCCCAGACATACTTTGGAATAACACTGTAAAAGGAAAGAACACATACTGGGAGTCAGAAAACCTAGGTTACAGTCTTAGTTCTGACATTAACACTGTATGACCATAATAGAAAAAATGTCCCCTTTCTAGGCCTCAATTTCTGCATCTGCACATCTGTAAACTGATGGTTCTGTACTAGATAATTTACAAAGTTCCTTCCAGCTCTAAGATGAGAGAAGTTACGTTCTGACATTCTACATTCTAAGTATAACACAAAGTGAAAAAAGATAATTCAAATTGGAATGCATTTAAGAGAGGCTCAGTTTTCAGAGCAAGGGTCATAATAGTATAACTATCCTTCATTTCAGTGAGATCACATGTAGCATTTTGTTCAGCTCTAGGACTCATAGTTTAGGAAAGACAATGACAAGCACATTCAGAAGAGGCAGACAAGGATTACAAGAGGGTTGGAGACTGTGACCTCAAAGGTTTAGTTGAAGGAACTAGATGTTTGGCCTGGGGATATGTCTTCAAATATCTGAAAAGTTTGTCAACTATGGGAAAGGGATTATGTTTGTATGCTTGTTTCATGGAGTCCAAGAGGGCATACAAGGAAGAGGTGGGAGAATTAGAGTTAGACTAAGAATGAAAAGACACATTACTTCTATTAATATAGTTTAGGACTGATGGGTGTAAGCACCCAAGAAACACATTTCAGCTTAAGGTAAGGGGAAGGGTGTACTTCCTAAATTATTAGAATGGGCTGTCTTGAGAGACAGTGGACATTCTTCAAGTAGAATACAGATATCGTTAAGTCAAAGATATCAAAGACTAGATTCCTTTTCAAGTTATGGGTTAAGCTAGACAATTTTTGAGATCCTTGTCAACTCCATAGACCATGATTCTGGGCAGGTTCCTTCTAGCTTAAGTTTTTAGGTTCTAGTGTTCTCTTTCCTCCATTCCTTTCCAGCCTCAACATTCTATGATACCATGCTTTTTTCCTCTCATATAGTAATGCCTCACCCAAAACAAAAGCAAGAAGTTTTGACTAATTATCAAACAACAAAACAAAATGGGCCTGTGGCAATAATGAGTTAAGACTGTATTGTAGAATTACTAAGGCTGATACTCAGAGACCTCCATCCTTGATTACGACTTTAAGCACAGGGAGCAGATACAGATGGTACACCAATGAATTCATTTAGATTGTTTCTCTTCATCCCCTACTCAATCCTGATGTGGACACCCCTTCTGTTGGCTCACCTGTTTCCTGATCACAGAGCTGCTCACAGGCATCAGTGGTCCTCTGCCCACATAAGTCTCTTATCCAGGGAGATGTGGCATTAATCTGGTAATAAAGGGAAAGCTTGGCTGGGTTTAACCAATCGGAGATGTCCAGGTAGCTCCCCTCACTCACCACAAAGCTGCTACCTGTGAGTAGACAGAAAGATACTTTAATTTTTTTCCAGTAGTGATACAGATACATTAGAAGGCAACATACAGCTCCATGTAGAGGACACAAAAAATGTATATGAAGCTATATATTCCTTATAGCATTACATGATATAGACTGGTTTCTCTTACTACTTTCTAGGACAATTTATCTATTTTATGCAGAGGTAGAAATGCCTATTTATCCATAATATGTTTGGGCCCCTGTGATATAGTAGGAGGGCCTTGGATAAGTCTCCTGAACTCTTTAGGACTCATCTTTGTTATCTGTAAAGGGACAATATTGGACCAAATGTTTCTAAGTATTATGAACAAGACTCTTGCTTTTGGAATTAGGAAAAAAGTGGAGTGCTGCCATATGGTTTTGAACCAGTCAATTCTCACAGCCTCAATTTCCACATGTGTGATACAGGGATGATGATATTTATAATGTCTGTATATCACAAGGCTATTATAAAGACACAATGAAATAATATATTTAAAGCACCAAAACTTACCCAGTGCCTAGCATATAATAGGCCCTTGATAAATGCTTACTGACTTACTGACTTTGAAACCATAAAAATACATATATATTTATATAAATGTAAACTATTTTTATCATAAAACAACAAACGCAAACACTTGAAGCAATTTGAAGACTAAAGCATAATGCAAAATAAGGCATTTAGAGAAAATCAGAACAGAGAACATTTATAATGCTGATTTTTTTAACCTTTTTTTGTATCATGGACCCCTTTGGCAGTATGGTGAAGCCTATGGCCCCCTTCTCAAAATAATCATTGGTTGTCTACATTCATAACTGAAGAAAACACTAGATTTCTTTTAGAGATTAGTGAAAATAAAGATGTAATTTTTTCTCATTTTTGGATTCCCCTGAAATATCTCCATGAACCCCTCAGGAGTCCATGGACCACAGCTTAAGAACTCTTAATCTAAAGGAAAGAGAAGTGACGTTTGCAAGTATTCAAGGTCAGTCAACTAACTATTGCAGTTCAGCACAGAATATGTTTTTAAGTTTCCTGGCATCCAAGGTAAAAAGGTAAACCCATTGCCTCACAGTTTTCATTTTCTGACCAGAGAAATACATTTAGTAACCGTTCAATAAATGTTCTTTATATAAATGAATAAATGGCAAGGACTCAATAATAGGCTATAGGATCACCTTGGGAACTAAATCCTATTTCATAAAAAAAGGAGATTCATCTTTCCCTATGCTTCAGAATCCCCCATGTTTTTCTTGGACCCTCCTTTCATCTGTTTGGCTCTGCAGCAAATGTATCTTTCTGTTGTCTCCTCACATCTCTCTCTCCAGAGAGCAGTGGTTCTGAGATGAATCCATGCCCAAATCTCTGCTTTAAAACTGTGATGTTTCTTTATTTTTAAAATATATTTTTCTCTCCCCCTGGCTTGTGGGAATATGCATCATCTAATTAGCCAAATAGATTTTCAGTTCAGCCCAATCATTTCCTTATCTAACATCTGAAGCCCGGCATTGCTCAGGGGACTGCACAGACACTGAGGTCCTCATTAACTCTGATCTTCAATTACATTGATTATAAGACTGCTTCTGTAATTGTGCAGCATACATCAAGGGTGAGTGGAGGAACCTTTGCCATTCTTTGGTGTTTTCTGTGAAGCCAAAGGCACATAGACCACCAAAGAAACTGAGAAGTACAGATGGGAGATAAAAATACCAAGGCAGAAGGTCTCACCAGACTAAATTTCCTAGAGAACCAGATAACAACAAGTGCTTCTCTTTTATATTCATGCCAGGTAAAGAGAGATTTTAAAAGAAAGCTTTTGGGGTCAGAAATGAATTGGAACTGTGAAGGAGAAGATTGCATGGTAGAGTTATTTTCATAAACGAAGCTAAGAGACTCTTGTCAAGCCTAATTCTTATACTTCCTCATGAGGTAAAAGAATGAAAGATGGAATTCTTCCCATTTTACTATCCCTTAATTATTTAGCTCCCATCTATCAGAGGTCTGAGGATGAAATCTAGGAGAAAAATGTCTCCCATCATGTCATTAAGATATCAAAGGCTATCTTACCTCCCCCCACTCCCTCATACACACATGAAATAGTCAAAATAATGAGACATCTGGGGAAAAAAGGTTCCTGGTAGAGACCCAATTCAATTCAATCAACATTTATTGATCACTTATTACATTCAAGGCACTCTGCTAAGTGTAAGGCAAACAAAAATCATTCCCCATCCTCAAAAAGCTTGTTTTTATTGCTAAATCAGTAGTCATATAAAAAGAAATAGTCAAAGAATGTTAGAGCAAGAGGGAATTTTAGAAATAGAATAGTCAAATATGAAAAGATGCAAAGTGAAGAGAGAAGAATCAGGGAACAATTTAGAAAATAATAGCAGTACTGTAAATAGAAAGACTTTGAAAGACTTAAGAACTTTGATCAATCTGTGATGAAGCATGATTCCAGAAGACTGAGGAGGAAGCATACTATTCAGCTCCTGATGGAGAGGGTATAGATACAATATGCAGAAGAAGACATACATTTTTGGACATGATTCATATAGGACTTTGTTTTGCATGACTATTCACATTATTTACAAAAATTTGGCTTTTCTTTTTCTCTTCCCATTTAGGGGGCGGAGAGTTGGGAAGGAGAGAAGATAAATGCTTAATAGGTGGGGGGGAAAGTTAAAAATGAGAAATCATCCAGTCCACTTCTTTGATTTTAAAGAGATTACTTTACTAGCCAAAATAGTGATAAATACTTATCACAAAATAGTAAGTAGCAGAGTCATATCTAGGCGGATCTAATGCCTAGAGGTTTTCCAACTCTTAAGCCCATGACCAAGCCACAGGGCCAACAATGGTACTCTGATAACTTAGATGAATCTCTGATCTCATTAAGTGGGTACCTGCTTCTATATGTGTTGATCATAGCCCATCCATTCCTTCTCAGACTGCATGAATCAGATCTATATCCTCTTGTAAATATGCCACAGAGGATCTATTCAACCATTGGAGATCGTGCCTTAGGTACTTTAAAATTGTAATGATATTGGCACAATACTAGGCTTTGACCATAAGAATGACCTACATTTATTTTTTGCTAGTCATACATGTCCTTAATGGTGACTTTTGCACAAATTAGTGAGTACAAGTCATCCTTAGTTTTATGCTTCAGGCTACTACATCCATTCATTGACCTTTAGATCACTTACAATTTTTAATTTTGAAACATCATGGTATTCCTTAATTCATAGCCACATAACATCACAAGGAGATTCTTGGTAATAAAAGGATGGTCTTTTCTTCCACCAATTGGGGAAGTGGCTAAACAAAGTATAGTGCATGAATGTAGTGCAATATTACTATACAATAATAAATGACAAATATGTTAAAAGCAGAGAAACATGGAAAGATTTACATGAATTAATGTAGACTGACATAAGCAGAAAGAGATAGACACAATGAAACTATAGCAATGTAAATGGAAGGAAGTACAACTATAAGACAATTGAAAGTGAATATTTAAAAATTACAAAAAAAAAACAAACAAACAAGCTTAGCCCTAAACAAAAGATATGAGGAAACACTTTTGCCCCAACCCCTACTTTTGCAGAGGTTTTGGGGTCCACAAGTATGGAAAATTGCAATTATACTGAAATTTTTAATGTATTGATAGGCTTTGCTGAATGCTTTTTTCTCTTCTTCTTTCTCTTTCTTTGAAAAAATACTGTTTGTTATATGGAATGACTCTCTGGTAGGTGGTAGGAGGAGGAATGGGGAGGATATTTGGGTGATTTAAAAACAAAAGATAATAATTTTAAATGGACTTTCATGTCATGAAATAGCTTGTGATCCTTGTAAACACTTCACAATTATTCCACCAAGCTTATTCCCTTCCTCTTATTGCATTCTGGCCCCAGACTACTCACTGTCCATATGCAGTGCCTACTTGAGATATATCTATATTTATATCTATCTATACTGTTACATTAATTTTCACCCATTGTAGCCGGTTCTCCCTTCTGGAGACAAAGAGAATAAGTATGATCCTTCCTCCAAAAAAGTAGTCTTTCAAATACTTTAAGACAAATATCATGTGTCTCAACTCTTATCAACTACATGCTAAATATTCCCAGTTTCTTATGCAGTATGACTCCAGGCCCTTTCTTTCCTTGTTGCTTTCCTTATTGATACTCTCTAGCTTTTCAATGTCCTGTTTAAGCAATGGTGCCCTGAACTGAACACCTCATTCCAGACGTAGTCAACAAGGACAAAGTACAATGGGACTATCACCTTCCTATTACTGGAAGCTATGCCCCTCTTTATGGACTTCAATTTTGCATGTGATTTTCTAGTTACCACATCCCACAGCTAATTCCTATTTAGTTGCAGTCTACTAAAACTACCAGAACTTTTTCAGACTAACTGCTTTCCATCCATGCCTCCCCCATCTTATAATTATGAATGATAGTTTAATGCTCAATATAATCTTATACTTATCCCTATAGAATTTCATCTTGGTAGATTTAACTCAATGCTCTAGTCTGTTAAGATCCTTTCAGATCCTGATAGTATTTGTTAAAAATGCTTCTTGATTTTGTTAATAATGATTCTTGATTTGGTGACCATGCATTTTTTGCTTTCATCCAAGTCTTTAATAAAAAATGTTAACACAGGGCCCAGGAATTTCTGGGTTACTCACTTAGAGACCTCCTGCCACACTGACATTAAACCTTTAATACCTACTCTTTGACCATCCAACCAATTCTGAATGTATTATATTTTATATTCATCAAATATCATCTCCACACAAAGAATATAGGAAATTTTATCAAAAGCTCTGCTAAAATCCAGGCAACCTATATCTATAGCACTAATTTATTTTATTATTTTAGTAATTCTGTCAGAGGGCAGCTAGGTAGCTCAGTGGATACAGTGCTAAGCCTGGAGTCAGCAAAACCTGAGTTCAAATCTGGCCTCAGATACTACCTT